TTTTCCAACCTAGAATAATATTCTTATAATCAGAAAAAACTTGAAATGAAGTTTAATATTACTTTAAATCCTTTAATTAAAATAGTAAAACTAGGGAGCGCTTTGTGGTGTATCTATTTTAGAAGACAAGTGCCACGCGCGCAATGAGTTGTGGGATATCGCGTATCAAGTGTCGAGTGTGATTTGCAAATTTTTTATTTTTTCGTTTGGGTACTGATTTCGCTCAAGAAAAGCTATATTCCGCTCAAGAAAAGGTATAAATAGTATTGGATAAGTGACTCTAAGTCTTGCTAAAGGCTTATTGATCTCAGGTATGTATTATTACTCTTTATATCATATAATTATAACGTCCATCGACCCTATTATTTCATTTTATCTTGTTGCTGTACTAGCCTGAACATGTGGCTGCTAAAATTTGAATTTGCCCGCGCGAGATTTTATATATTGAAATTATTTCATTTCAATGCCGCCAAATATTAGTTAAAACCAACAATTCAAATTTTGAATAAGCACATTTATATATAGTGTATTATTTGAAACAATATGTGAAATGTGATCATGAATGTAAATATGGGTTTGCTTCAAAATGGCTTGCAAGCCTATTCATACCAAAACATGAGAATTATTTGAGAGTATTAATTAAATTATGTTCTTTTAATCACATCTCCCCTGGAATGCCTGGATTTCCAAGGTCTTTCAAGTCATTGAGTGCCAGCTCTCTCCCCTTGACAAGTAAAATCACCTAGGCATTAATTCTGCCTAGGGTTACTGGCCGGGTTAGACAGAGTAAAATTAATGGTGTTTTCACTACAATTAAACCTTGACCTAGCCTTGGACAGGCCAAGGTAAATGTGGCATGTTTACACCATTACACTATTTTTTTTGAGACAGGCCCGCTTTGGCCAAGAATTTTGTTATTAATTTTGTGTATTTTTATGTGTTGTGATGTTGTCCGCTGGTTGTCTGCTAATCTCTCACTGTGGACACACATTGCCATAAAAATAAGGCCCCGGCCAGGGCCGAAAGTGTTTACATTTACACAAGCTTAGGCCAGGTCTGTTGTAGTGAGCCCAGATTTCCTGGCCTAGGTTGGGACTAGGGTGATGCGGTTATTCGGTTAGCCGAGACGGTTATTTTTACAGAAAAACCAATTCAAAATATAAAATTCAAAATAAAAAGACAAACAAGCGGGCTACATGTGATCAACATAAAACTATAAGCAAGCTACGTTATACTCTTTGGTGATTACGCAATTTAAATCAATGCTAGAAGCCTAGAAAAGCGCTGCGACTCAAATGGCGGATCAAAACAAGCTTAAAGCTTCCGATTTGATGAGCTAAGAGAAAGGCGGACGTCTGCGAAGACGTCACATTGATAACACACAAGACATGTTGTTTATTTTTGTCAAAATAAGTTCATTGATTAAAAGAGTTGGTTATCTCAGTTATTTTGTGACGATTCTCGGTTTCGGTTATTTTACGAAACCTGATCACCCTAGTCAGGACAAGGCTAGGCCATTTCCACAAGCCTAGGCTTAGGCCAAGTCGGTTGTAGACTTGTAGTGAGCCCAGATTTCCTGGCCTAGGTCAAGACAAGGCTAGGCCAAAGTCTGTTTACACTGTCAAAATGTTGGCCAAGGCTGGTAGTGTAAACAAGACTATTGAATGCATCAAGGCACATTACGACTAAATGGTTAGTGTTTCCCACAATATGGTAAAAAAAGTATAAACTTTTGCTAGCTTGAAGGATCTTCCAAGCTAAACCCTTCTAGAGTATACCCTGTATGTATGTGCCTTTTTATATGATAATGGCACGAATGGACAGTAGGTTATAATCCAGGAAGGTGTGTTTAATATAGACACGATACACCCCACCTGGCAGGGATGATAGAGTGCTTATATTCATGAGAGTTTCTTGTCCTCGCAAGTGGGATCCTGTCTAGGCCAGATAGAAGTAGAATAATTCACTAAACAGTTGATAGAGTTCATATTGCAAGCTGGGTCATGTCGGTGGGATCATAATAATTACAATGTGGCTACATTATGATGCTTATGATGTTACTCTGAGTGCATATCCACACCGGGCAAGCTTGAAAAATATGCCTGACCACGGTGGGAATCGAACCTACAACCTTAGGAATATTAGCCTGGCAATACTCTGCCAACTGAGCTAAGCGGTCAGATCGGTTCGAATATGTGATATTTCGGAACAGAATCTAGTTCCTTCGATATCAATGTAATCGAAGGAACTAGAAAAATCATTACTGATTATTAGATTACATTGATATTGGAAGAATTAGATTCTGTTCCGAAATATCACATACTGTATTTGAATCAATCTGTCCGTGTAGGTCAGTTGGCAGAGCATTGGGCTAGTATTCCAAAGGTCATAGGTTCGATTCCCACCATGGTCAGGCATATTTTTTAATTATGCTTGCCCGGTGTGGATATATACTCAGCGTAACATCACAAGCATCATATTCCTGAGTACATGACACCAACACAGAAAAATCATTACTGGCTACAGTATATCATTCTACAGGTCCTTAAACAGACTTTGCCAGGCTATATTTACAGGCTTACAGCACTCTTACATACTAAACCAGAACTATAAAATTTATTGTTAAATTAATGAAGGATTTCAGCGAGCTCAAAAATAGTCTGGCATTAGACAGAGTACAATAATCTGGCATTTAAAAGACAGTAAAATAAGGGAGTAGGACACACAAGGGTACAATACAACTTAATGGGTTCACTAGACACATGGCCATATTAACCCAACAAAACAGGAATACCCTGTACTTCTCAAGAAGTTTGGCAGGTCATTAAGATGGGGAGTTAACTGGATATTATACTAGGCCGGACATGGCATAAGCTGCATTGTGCCACAACTTTATTCTTTTACTGTGTCTGATGGGTCGTTCCAGAAAAGATCCACTCTCCCCTGGGCACAGAGGAAATTTCAACCGTCCGGAGGGGAGGCGAGGGGAGAAAAAATTGTTTCTGAAGTGTATAAGGACATTCGAATTTTGAAGGGGATAGGGGGTTAACTTCCAATTTCCTTCATGGGGGAGGTTAGGTATCGATGTTCTCTGGAATGACCCAACCTAATTTCTCTTGTTAACCCATTCACTGGCAATATGCTCTACTTTATATTACTCTGTCCAATGGCAGGAAATTTTACAGTTTTACTTGTTGAGAAGATAGCCTTGCAGCAGTTTCCAATTTGCCATGTATCGCCCACACAGAGAATACATTACTGGGGACAAGTCAGGGTAAAAGCCATATGAACCAAGGGTTATCAATTATGATAATACTAGAAACAACGTCAACCAAAGGTTGGGTTGTGCTACTAACTACATTTATTTAGGTCTTCCGTCTTCCCATTCGCAATAAGGTGCAAAGTTTATAGGTTGGATAGGAGGAAATTGCTCATATTGCTGCATGTGAACTGTGAACTTGTGCTATATACTGTAATGTTAACTGACTGTGGAGTTCCAGTACCGGTACATGAAATACAGTATGTACAGCTAATGATAGTCTTGTATTTCCTTTCTTGTAGCTCATGTGACTAAACGTTTTGCGGGAGCAACAGCCTCATCAGTGAAAGCTGCCATGGCCCAAAAGTGCAAAGACAAAAGAAATGCTGATACGAAAAGAAGAAAAATTGCAAAAGACGTTTGAACTGCTAAGTTGGAACATGTGAATTTGGAACATGTGACTTTTCACATGTGAATACATGTGAAATTATGTGTTTCACATGTGAAGTTTCACATGTGAAATTTCACATGTGAATTTGGAACATGTGAATTTGGAACATGTGACTTTTCACATGTGAAATTAGGAAATTATGTATTTCACATGTGAAACTTCACATGTGAAATTTCACATGTGAAGTTTCACATGTGAATTTGGAACATGTGAAACATAATTTCACATGTGAAATTTCACATGTGAAAAATCACATGTTCCAAATTCACATGTGAAATTTCACACATGTGAAATCATGTGGAATTTTTGTAAGGGCGTCTATTAAAACTACTTAAGATCTGTGGCAGGGGCAGTCCCGCACCAGTGTCCAGGTGCATGGCATGTCCACGTCAAATGTTGCCGTAACCAAGTTAGCGTAAGTGGCTTTAAGAGATCTTTTGAAGATGGAGAGGCTGGCAAAGGTGGTGTAGAGGGAAGAATTTTGCAGACGTGGTTCCATAACTTGACAAGCCGGTTGAAATATGAGGATTGAAATGTTTTGGATTTACAGAAAGGAATTTTGAGTGTGAGAGAAGGATTTCGACTAAGTCGTGTTCGGCCATTGTTGACAAATGAAACGAAACTATGCACGTCAAGATCAATATGTCCATACAGTGCCTTAAAAAAGAACACTAAGTCTTTTATTTCTCTTTCGTAGCACAGGGGTAATAAGCCAAGGGTTATCAGCCGCTGCTTATATGCAATTTCTCCGCGCTTGGCTTGCAGTATCCAAGAGGTGGCTCTCCTTTGTACACGTTTCTTGACATGCGGTGAAAATTTACGTCTCAGTTTGCATATTAAGGAATAAATGTTAGATGGACTATCTTTTCTACTAGGCGATTATTAATGCTGATTAATGGCTCGTTGTTGTATTTGATTTTTAAAGTCAAGATCGATTGCGATTAAAAAAAATATTTTATTAAATCTCATATAAAGAAAAACAATGTCAGTTACAGAGAGAACAGGATACATGAGCCCGCGATGCTTGCAGCTGACCATAATTAAAGTATGCTAAATCATTACAACTTCCTGATGAAGAAATCGTTAGTTCCTAAAGTTTCACTACTGCATGTTCATATTTCACCTCATGAAAATATTTTACTATCGCACAAATAAAAACATTCATTATATTTGTTTTATATAACACCAAAATAAATCAATGTTATCGAACTTTGCAAAATTCAATTGAATAAAAAAAAAACAAATACAAACCTGAGTTGCATGTATACAAAGTTTAAAATTAATAGAAATCCAACAGATATATGTCCCAAAAAATGTTTGAGTGAAGAGTTAATGTAATAATAGTATTCATTAATTAACTCAATATTGTCGTAAAAATATATATTTTAGTCATGATTTTAATTTAACACCCGCCATTTTGCTTCGCACATATTATGAATATTCGGCCACATTATGAATATTCGAGTTAATGAGCTACGATACGATTAAGATTTTGACGGATGAAATTAAATGAAAACCAAACCGTGCAATAGAATAAAACGTATATTACTGTACAAAAAGTGTTCGATTACACGCTCAGCAAAGTGGTAATTTTTAATTTTATTCCATATCACGTTATCGTAAACTTCCAAATAAATGATCATCAACTTTTTTCCAAATTACTGGTTCTATTAAAACACACAAATTTCAATTCATCGTTTGGTGGTTCAGATTCGACTTCCACTATGCCAGTACCGCTACCTATCAGATCAATCACAAATGTACCTATCTATCATGTAAAATGTGACGTGAATTTGTATACACTACCCAACTGTCTCACTTCCAAGACGTTACGTTGCAGTTTTGACGGTTCTTTCATTTTGGGACAATATGTCAAATCACCTTAGACCGTTATACAGTAGGCCCACATGCACTAAAAATATTCCTGTGATCAAAGTGGCTATATCAACCTTTACTCAAAACTGTGCCATTGAGACAACGCGGTGCACGTGTGCAGATTCCAATTCGTTCTGTTCAATTTGTTCGAATAGGAATTTGTACGGTTAGTTGTGCTTCGAATTGTACCGTTTTCATGAACAGAAATTAGCCAGGGACCAGACTTATGGTCTTTATCTTGAGGAAATTGCATCAAATATGGATAACATCTAAAATAGGATATTCTTTTTTGCTAGCATGTCCAACCGGTCGGTATGGTCCTTCCTGTGAGAAGATATGTGACTGTGGAAATGGCGCCAGTTGTGATCCGGAGACTGGAGCTTGTATTTGTCTTCCTGGGTGGATTGGAAAAGATTGCAGAACGCGTATGTATATCTTTTGTGTCATATATATATATATATATATATATATATATATATATATATATATATATATATATATATATATATATATATATATATATATATATATATATTAAGAATAAAATGTTCTAGAGTGTGTATTATATAATTTCCATACCCAGCGCAAGCAGAAAGATGTTGTCTGCCGCGGCTGGGTCTCGAACCCGCGACCTTCGAATTACTAGATCGACGCTCTACCAACTGAGCTACACGGTCAGACGGATTTAAGACTGGAAATTATGAAATATATACTGAATGTAGTAAACATACTCGTTTATATTAATTCAGCATCGAACAATACTAGTTCTGCAAGTGTTATGTTAGTTACACTTGCAGAACTAGTATTGTTCGATGCTGAATTAATATAAACGAGTATAACAACATAAAACGCTCACTGAGTTTCCAGCGATATATACATACCCTTTTCTAGATATATACCTAATAATAATAAACGAACGAACGAATGTATTCCTTCCACTCGTGAACTCATTTACCATTGCCACATATAGTAAATGTCCAGGCCTTGTGACCCTGGATGGGCACTTAAAAGGAAAGAATACACACACACAAAGGTTTATTTATTCAACCATTACAAGAGAACGATTGAACAACTGCGCATGAACGAACGTTCAAAGTGAATGCCACTTGATAGCCACCTGCAAAATTATTATTAGCATAACAATATGTCTCACACAACTCATTTCCTTGTCGTCATATCATAACAAACCATATCAGGAAATATGAATATCAATTACAAACCTTTAGTCAAATCCATGACCTTCAGGAATATGTACCTACAACTGTAGGATTTAAGTGCAAAGCACCAAAAATAACAATATGAAATTGGTCGAAGACCCGTACTCAGGAAATAAAATAATAATATAATAATAATAATATTATATATCTAGAAAAATAATAATATTTTTAGGTATATATCTAGAAAAGGGTATGTATATCGCTGGAAACTCAGTGAGCGTTTTATGTTGTTATTTTATTTCCTGAGTACGGGTCTTCGACCAATTTCATATTGTTATAAACGAGTATGTTTACTACATTCAGTATATATTTCATAATTTCCAGTCTTAAATCCGTCTGACCCAGCCTAGACCTAGGCCTTCTATTTTTATTTATATTTTTTTAAGATTCAGCGCTTTTTCGCATGAAAAGACTGGGACCAGGTGATTTGGGGGCGGGGCGGAGGAAGGACACAAGCCTGACGCAAGCGGAAAAATAGAAGGCCTAGTGGATTTCCCAACAACAAGGCCAAAACTGCCTTGAAACTGCCCTGGTTGCGAAATGCTCAATTATTGCGTTCTCAAACAGAATTATTTGCAACTTAACAGTGAATTTAAACCGATACAGGTAAAATAAACTCATTTATAGTATAAACTTACTATTTTTATTTGTATACACGTCTAGAAAATCGGGTTTTTTATCATAAAGTTTGAAGCAACACTATTATTATGTTGACAAGGTGTAGCGAAAGCACAAAATAATAATTCTTTTCTTCGCAAGACAATCTACTGTTTTGCTTTGAATAACTATATTTGCGAATTGGGAATGAGGATTTTGAAATTATTGTTCAAATATTACGGATATACCATTTGTAAACAATGTACGTTTTTATATACAGTACTGTACGGGCTAATAATATATGTATCCGTTTTATTTAATAAATTATAATTGTATATGTGTTTGTATATTTTACAAACACAAGACTGCTTCTTGCCAAATTAAATTTATAAAATATATATTAATGTAGTTGTGTATAAGACAAAATTTCATGAAAGATTCTACTTTTGGTATATATTTTGACTCATTTTGTGCTTTCGCTACACCTTGTCAACATAATATTAAATAGTGTTGCTTCAAACTTCATGATAAAAAAACACGATTTTCTAGACGTGTATACAAATAAAAGTAGTAAGTTTATACTATAAATGAGTTTATTTTACCTGTATCCGTTTAAATTCGCCGTTAAGTTGCAAATACTTCTGTTTGAGAACGCAATAATTGGGCATTTCGCAACCAGGGCATTTTCAGGGCAGTTTTGGCCTTGTTGTTGGGAAATCCACTAGGCCTTCTAGGCTTGGTTCCTCCGCCCCGCCCCCAAATCACCTAGTCCCAGTCTTTTCATGTGAAAAAGTGCTGAATATTAAAAACATATAAACAAGACTAGAAGGTCTAGGCTGCGTCTGACCGTGTAGCTCAGTTGGTAGAGCGTCGATCTAGTAATTCGAAGGTCGCGGGTTCGAGACCCAGCCGCGGCAGACAACATCTTTCTGCTTGCGCTGGGTATGGAAATTATATAATACACACTCTAGAACATTTTCATCTTAACATATTACAGAGTGTACAATTACACAACTAATATATATATATATATATATATATATATATATATATATATATATATATATATATATAT